CAACTCTTGTCAATATTTTCAGTGTGGCTTATTTTTGTACATCACAAAGTTCCAGAGCTATTTTGGTATCTGAAGAAAATGTATAAAATTTCCTCTGTGAATAATGTCTGGACAAATCAAATAAATAGTTGACAAGGTGGCCTATGTCACAATTGTAGGTGATAAGTATATGTTGTCTTTTTATGCAGGTTTTTGCTTCAAAGCTGTTTATTTGGTGTAGTATGGGATTGGAGATAATGAGAAACATCAAGAGTAGTTACAAACCCAGTTGTTTGTGTGGCTGCTGTTTGAGTTTAGGCTCGTGTTATCTTTTTCCTTTCACTGTGTGGTTTCTTCAGTTTTATGCCGAGTACCAGTTTTGCTGTTGAACAGTAATAAAGATTGCTTCTCCTGAGATGGTTTCACCCTTGCTTATACACATCCTCGCTAACCTGGTTTGGTACGGCGAAATAAGCAAGACTGAAGTGATTGTCTGCCAGTTCATGGAGCAGCTGCTACTTAGGTGTTCAGATGATTAATTAGGTGTTTGACTGAAATTTGAAGTTTGGTTGTTGAATTGCTGAACTGAGTTGGCTGATACCATCCTCCTTCCAACACACAGGGGTTGGTCTTCTTTCCTTATTGCCTACCCTACTGTATTACTGAATGATTTATGGAGTAAAAAGTTATCTGCTCTAGAATGACTTTCAGCTGTAACTTCCAGTCATTTCTTGGTTTTCCACTGCGATAGTAGGAAGGAAAACTTTACAAAGTTTCCATTATTTCTGGAACAATGCTTGGAGTATTCTAACTACCAGACCCTTGTCTCTGCAACTGCAGCTGCATGTATATTTGAGTTTCTGGTACACTGTAAACCTAACAGATTAAAAAGGTTGTTTGTAGTTCTCTCAGTACTGGGCTGTAACATACACCAGAATGCTGGAGATTATAGAGGTAAGTAAGTGAATGCTGTATGTTCTTGTGTCTGCATTCCAATGGCACAAGTGTCCTCAAAGATAAATTAATCTAACATTCAAAGTCTGATGTAGATACTGCAGACAATATGCTAATACTGTTCTTTGTATCACCGGAATAATGTAGATTCAAGGCAACTGATGGGAGATTGCACAAACTATATGTAAAGACATTTAATTGTCTAACTTTCTCAACTTTGGTAATCTTGAAATATATATCTTAATTTTAATGTGTTCCTATGAAAATATTTTTAGAGAGATTTCCCCTGCTCCTTTCTACATGTTTACGAAGGGGTTTTCTAGGAGTATAACTATTTTTTAACTCATTTACTAAGTGACTACCTTTTTCTAATTAGGAAAAGATAAACAATATGTGGAGTAATATCAAAACATGAAAAATATTTTTTTTATTATATACCTTCCATCTGTAATAGGGATTTTGGGTGCTGCTTTTGACTCCAGAAGCATAATTTTCCAGCTGATATGATCTTAACTCTGTTACTTCAATAAATACGCAAGAAAACGTATCTGCAAATCCCTGTGTGTTAAGAGGGAAAGACTTCTACTTCAAAAGGAATGGAACAAGTCTGTTAGGAAAGAGCTTCGTATTCCTAGCTTGAATGTGTACTTAAGTCCTTGCATGTACATTTGGCTAGAGTTTGTGCTATATGTCTCATCTGATTATGTGTGAGCAGCCAAAGCAAGCATGCTGCTGCAGGCTGTGTGCAAAGCAGCACCTACATCTAAGTCATAAGTCTGAAGAAAACGTTTTGCAAAATTGCTTTCAGAGATTTGGCCTCTCAGCTGGTCAGACTGCTGTTTAGAGCTCTAGGACTCATTGGAAACCTTTTATTTGCTAAAGAGACCATTGATTAAGAACATCTATATGGGTGAATTTGGAGGTTGGAACATCAGGACCCTTTGGTCTTTCACTCCAAAAATTTATTTCCATTTGGGGCTCATTTTTTCCTTCATATGTGTTCATACCATAGTTACAGTGTTGAGATTTCCCTTAACTGCTGTTTAACTGGGAGAGGGAACTTGCTTCCTCTTTCAGGAAAATGATAAAAAGATCTGAGTTATGAGGGTGTGATTCTGGTCAGAATAATAACCTTTTGCTTTAAAAGTCTAGCCAAGTTTATACTTGTTGAAAATAAGTCATTAACTTATTTTTCTGTAAGAGCCATTGGGAACTTGCCCAGCTTTCTGGGAAGGACTGGTAGGGTTTTTATTTTTTTGTTAACTGGGAGAGGTTTCCCATCTGCCTCTCCACATCCAGCTAGTCTGTTCTGGCCTGCTTTAGAAACTTGGGCCAGACTTGAAGAGATGTCATCTGGGAGCATTTATAAGCTGTGCATACTTTGTTAGGTCTTGATGTAATTGCTGAAGTGAATCACCTTTGTCAGTTCTTAGTGTATGAATGGATTTCTTTCCTTTTTGATTCCAATTAAAGTAATAAAGCAATGGATATCAAGCCTTATAATTTGTTCCTAGTAAATTAAATGGATGGTAGAAGGACCAAATTCCTATTCCAGTAAAAAAAAAGAAAAAATGTTTTTGGCTATTGCAATTTAATCATCGTTCTGATTATCTTATTTTTCACAGAGACATTTTCTTGAATTATTGAGTGGTTTAGAATAACACTGATAGTAACAATGTGCAATGAATAACATGGCACATTCTAGATGTCCTAGATGATGTAAAAAAATGTAGATTTAGTTGGTATCAGTAGGGGTGGATCAGAGTTTCTGGAATTCAAACGTATTGGAAACAGATCTTCAGTATTTTAAACTAATACATAGAATCAAACTTTTCCCCAAACTCATAGGTGCTGGACATATTACAGAAACATGTTCAGTCTTTGTAAAATTACTCTTGAGATAAACTGGAACTTTGCACTGCTCTCTAGTGATGATTGTTGCTATATGAGGCTCTGAAGTGGAGATACAGCTGCTTGTTAAGGGCAAACGAAAAGAATCATTTAAGGTGTTCACAGGAAAGGAAGTTGCTGGCTGTACTCAGACTCTAAAACTAAATTCTGCTGCAGGACATAATCTTATTTTTGGGCTTGTAGGAAGTTGTATTATTCTTTGGCCTAAATATAACTCATATACATTTTTCTCACTGAAATCATTTGTAATCCTTTTATAAAGGAGTATATTGTCCAAATGTGGCATTTTTATTATTCAAGTGATTGGAAAAAGCAGGAAACAAAATTTTTGCTTTTATTGTGTATTTACTTACAGTAGACTTCAAATGCAAACCATTCTGTGGGCCTGTTTATAAGGCTTGAAGTTACTTTGTTTTGCTTAACCAAATGGCCAAAACACTGACAGCAGTATGTCTGGAATGTTATTTACTTGGTCTATTTCTGCAGTTTTTCTTTGTAGTGCTGTACACATGCCACAGTTAGGGGTCATTTACTTAAAAATGACCAAAGTAATACCCCCAAAGCTTCAGTTATTCTTCTCATCAGGGTCATCATAACAAAAGGTTCATCATGTTCTGCAGCTTCTGTGCTTGCACTATCCCCCCAGCCCATCTCTCCCTCCCTCCCTTCTCTTAATCAGAATTACTTTTGGTGAAGATTTGGAGAGCTGCTGTTTTTTCTTGCTTTATTCTCTGTGTCTTGATTCCTCTATCAGTGCTTTAATTTCTTAGATTTTTTCTTACAGTGCCAACTGATTGAAATGTATCAATTTGATTTGCTGGACGACTATTATTTTTCATAAGAAGATGGTTATTGAGTATGTTTATCTATTTAAGTGTGTATCCTATTTTATAGTCTCAGTTCCAGACATTCAACTAGTTGCAAGAAAACTGTATGTTTTAACATTTCCAACGGAAGGGTAGGACGGGTGGGGAAGCTCTTTGGAATGCTGACAAATTATATTTGACTCTTGGAAATGTCTTAAGGCCATATGCTCTCCTCCCATGCTTGGAAAGCTAGACTTAGTTTTAAAGACCTGTGGTCTTGAAGGTATTACCATTGTTCTTTATTGCCTTTCTAACTGACTGGATTTGAGAAAACAGTTGAAATGCTGATTATGGTTGCCAGCAGTTAGTGCAGGGATACTCTGAAGATGGTGGTCTTGGTTTGTGCCCTTGCTACTCCCATCTGTGGCATGGCATCCATTAATCCTTTGCGTGTTAGTCAGAGGGCTTAATTCTGCTACTTTCCTTTCCTAGAAGTATTTAATTAAAAAAACTATGTAACTTTTGAGACGTTAATGTCTGTAATTTCTATAAGCATAGCAGAAATTGCCTTACAGCAGAACATGAGTTAGGAACTGCAGCAACCCGCAATTCAGTGTAACTGTTTCCAATAGCAGAACAGTAGTTCATAACAATTTTTTTCTTCTTGTAGTACTTGAGTCCAGAGCAGAATAAATATAGATTGGGTTGTTCTCCCCTGTTGTGAAAAGAAGATATCTAGTGAATATTAAGTCTCCTACTCACTTCTGTTTGTGGTAAAGGTTGATCTTCCTCTGCATCTGCAGAAATGATCAACTCTTATTATCAGATGGTATCTTTCTAGCACATTTGAAGTTTTAACAAGCACAGGTGCTTTACTGTATATGGCTTGTGTTACTTTTGGATAGGGATTTGTTTTCTTTATAAAATGTTTCTGCTTTGTTTATTTCCAGCTTTCATCACTTAACTGATAAATACTTGCTGCCTATATTCACACCTGCTCATCTTTTATTATCCTGGTTTGTATATAAGTGTTTCTATTGAAATAAATCAGTCTTGTAATTTTAAAAATACAAAACTTTGGTTTAAGTTACTTCTTACAGGTAATAGCTGTTTGACGGTTGAATACAGAACAACAGCTTGGCAGAATTTTAGTTTGAGTCTCTGCCAACCAACAATACAGTACCACCTAATTCCTAAAAATGCCTGAGCTATAAACTATTAGTCATGACCTAGCATGTATATAGCAATCAGAGGCTAACAAGGCTAATAAAGCCTATATATTATTACGGCCATGCAGCGCATGTTGTAACAGGTCAATAATGTATTTTGTCACTCATTCCTATTGTGCAGCCCACACATCATCTTCCTGTCACAGAGTGTACTACCGGGAGGGAGACATCTCTGTGGAACACGCCTGTGCCATGAAATTGCTCATGCTTGGTTTGGACTGGCCATTGGTGCTCGTGACTGGACTGAAGAGTGGTTAAGTGAAGGGTTTGCCACGTTTTTAGAAGATGTATTTTGGGCTAGGGCACAACAGGTAAGGTGATGATACATCACTTCTCAGTTGAATTATGTGGAAATCAAAATTATATACCCTGTTGTGAATTAGATATAAATTAAATCTCCTGTGTTATGAAGATAAGTCTTTTAAAATTATGTCGAAATCAAAATTATATACCCTGTTGTGAATTAGATATTATTTAAATCTCCTGTGTTATGAAGATAAGTCTTCTAAAATAATTTTGGCATTTGCATGCTAACTTGATTTAAAAATAAAAAATCAAAAATCCTTCCTGATCCACAATGAACACTAGTCTTTGCAGAGGTAGATGTCAATGCAAATGAGAATGGAAACATCTGTTTGTCAATTATTACCCTCCCACAAATGTACTACTCAGTTATTAAAATTCAGCTATCAAACAGTTGCTCTGCATTCTTTCTGCTTGTATTGTGTTCCTGAAACTGGAACAATCAGCAGAGTCTTACTTGTAATATTCCAAGTACCTAATGCAAATGGTCTCATTTTATTCAGTGGATAGCCAAGAAGCATACCTCAAACCAAAATAGAAACTGATGAAATATAGCATCAGCACTTACAGGTTTTTTTCTTACACTACTCAGCAAGAGTTACCCTCTTAAATACCCTTCTAAGTCAGAGGCTTATAAATCATTATCTGCTTTAAAGTGAAAAGCTCATGCATTACCTGTCAGTTAGTAAAGTGGTTTTCTGATCCAATTCTTGTTTTTGTTATACCTCTGGTACTTCAAGCACTTCATGTGTTAGTCATTTCTTCCTGTGTTTGTGTTAGGCCTTGGTTCTACCCCTTAAGTCGGCAGAGCCCCATCTGTGGAAGAGCAGGTGGGGCTGGGAACTGACATCATACACTCTTTTGAGGCTCCATTTTATTAAGTATCAGGCATATTTATAGCACCGAACAAAACAGAATTCCCTGCCTCTTACCACGTTTCTGGAACAAGAAAGAGAGGAAGGCTGTCCAAACACATTGCTTTGCCCTTCTGGTCCTAAAACTCATTTCTGCCCTTACATTGAGCATCGCTCCTCTGCGATGAGCTGTTCACATTAATTCTATGCTTTTGTGAGTCATTTGAAAGTTTTTTCATTTTTGAGTAGTAGACTCCCATCCATGCAGCTGAATGGAAAGGAGTAAGCAACAAATCAGGTGATTAGTGCCCTTGTTAATTTATGTCAGAAAATTGCCTTTTTTTTCCCCTCCTTTTTAGAATTACTGAGTGGTTTTGGTGCTGTACAATCATATAATTGTAGGATTATGAGTATATTCCATACTGCCTGACAATAATTTCAGCTGTGAATGAAATATTGTTATAATGCAGGATAATAGTAGCTGCTTTTGCTTTCTCCCGTCTCCCATCTTTTCTTATAATAGAGATGCATAAATTAGTTCTTATTTTTAAGTTGACAACCTGGCATTTATTTCATAAACATGCATCTCTGTTAATATTATGTAAATGGGGGAAAATACAACATGGAGCTTTCATGAATGTGGCAGAAGTAGTAGGAAAGAGGAATGATGTCAGGACACAAAGCAGCTCTTTGCTTTCAAGCTGGAAACAGTAAAGATGCAACCAAAACTGACATGCCAGGTATCTCTGCTGTACATTCAGCGCACTTACTGCCAGTCAATTTAGGAAAAACAGCATACCCGTCTCTCTACTCAGGCAGAAATATTTAACCAACTATTGATTTGATGCACACAGTGAGGTTTCTGTTTTCGTTAGTGCTGCTATTAACTCTCATAGCAGCAACTGGTTTTTTTTTTGGTTGGTTGGTTGGATTTTTTTTAAATCGTGGATATTGGTACTGTTTCCTGCATCTTCTGCACATTACAGGGAAATAAAACAAGTTTTTCATTCTGAAAATTATTATTGTCTGCTGGGAAACAGCCGTCAGTCATCTGTGTTTTTTGTATACTAAGCAGCTGTCACATGATGAAGTAAAAAGGCAGCAGGAATTGAAAGCTTTACTTCGCTGGCGCCGACTCAGAGATGAGGTGCAGAACTCTGAAGAAGAGCTGCAAGTTTTAAGGTAACAATATGATAGTGTAATCTTTGCTTCTGCCTCTTCTCTCTCTCTCCTGTTTTCCACCATTTTCTCCCTTCAAAGGATATACATCCAAATCATCTAATTAAATCCATTGCATTTCCTTATTTCCTTCTGAAGAAAAAAAAAAAAAAAAGTAAAATTGAATTGACTGGGTTATTCATCTTCTGTATAATGCAATTGCTTTTCTCTTTGTTATAGAAAGCTTTCAAGAACCATGGGATTTAGTTTGATATAAAATGTCTCTAAGCAGTTTACAAGAGCCTCTATTCAGGGAAAAAAAGAGGCCGTTTCCTGAACAAAGTTCATGGTTTGAAGCCGTAACAGATTCATTTTCTGTGGCTGAGGACAAGCACATACAGGAGTATGGTATCTAACTGCCAAGCTGAATGAAGCTTTAAAAAACAAAGGGAAAAGCATAATGAACTATGTACATCTACTTTCTCTTTAGAAATTACTAATAATGCTATTTAAACAGGATTTTGGTCTTTAAGTACCATATGCTAAGCTCAAGGCTTCTTCTTACATAGCTGAAAACATCAGATCAAAAAGAGATTCTTGCTTTGCTAATGATTAATTATCTGGAATGTTCTGATTGGTGTCTTGGGAATTTGCCATAGTCTTTTATCTTGAGTAGCTGCCTAACATCTCCACTGCTTGTATCCCCACAGTCTTTGACCAAGAAAAACAAGTTTACTAATCGTAGCTCAAATTAGCCCTACACTGGCCAAATCACAGAAGTTCAGGGACAGATTTCTAAAGATTATGTAGATCATTCTCCCACCCTGAACTACAGGCAGTATACACAGACCATCTTAAGTAGGTTTTTACTAACATGTTCTTAGAAACACCCGATAAAAAAGTTTCCATAGTACCTAGCTAAGCTGTTTTGGTGTTAACAGTTAAAAATTGCTTCCTGATGCACAGCTGAAATATTGTTTATGTCAAACAATATAGATTTCTTCTTTTCTTTCACCAAGTGGAAATAAAGAACAAATTGATCCCCGTCTTCTAAATAATCAACTTTAAAATGTTTTTGGAAGACTGGTTCTATTTCATTCATTTTGAGGTCTTCCCTTGTTTTTGTGCTTTCCCAGTAGGACCTGAAAGCCTTTTATATTTGGGCACTAGATACTATTCACCAACATAGAAATTCTACTCTATGGCCTCATGTAATCTGAAAACGTCACCAACTGCATAACTGTATTCTTTCATGGATTTGCTTTACTTCATGTTTATTGATGAATTGTGTATCCTACATGTAAGCAGAGTCAGTGAAGTTATACATTTGCAAATGTGCGATTTCATGACAGGTATAAATACAAAAGCAAGCCTTATCACCAGCTGCTGTCAACACAACTCCTGATTGACGGATGCTGTTTGTTTTAAAATAAATTATTTTTAGGAACATTAGTTTTTGTGATATGAGGCTTATCTAGATGTATGTTTTCCATTTTCAACACTGTGTAGTCACATTTGTCATCTCTTGCATTAATTATTTAGTTGTTACTTTTAATAAAATGTGTATGCTTTTCTAAGGGCCAAAATGTCCTTTGTAGTTTGAAACTCAGAAAGGGTTAATTTGTCTTGAAATTGAAACCTATGTTTTCTATTGACCTCCACATTTAGTAGGCATAAGTCTCTGTAATAAGCATGCTGCATAGTGGTATTCTCAATACTAATACAAAAGAATGACAAATCATTTCTTGTTTGAAAAATATGCCTTTAATATACACTTCAGGAGAGGAACATGATACCAGCTTTTGGATTCTGGCAAACTCTTCCTCTCTGATGTCTGTAGTTTCCTGTGGTTGCATTTAAGGACTTGCCACTGGTTTCAGTCAAATATAAATATTCTCTACTATTTTTGTGGCATGGACTTGAATAGGTTCTCTCTTTGATTGTTTACTGTTTTTTTTCCTTTTCTTCTTCCTTCTGAAAGTATGTCCATGTGCTTTCCAGAGTTGGTATTTAAGAGAGAAAATTTCAGTCTTGGCATTGCACTGAGTTTTGAGTCTATAGTGAGACTTGTGCTGGTTCAAGCTTGTGTTTTTATAGAAGGATATTAGAAGTAAATGATAACTGTTTGTTACTTCTTGCCAGTTATGTCAGGAAGAAAAAAATCAGCCCACCCACTCTTCCCAAGCATAAGCTTATTCTTCAATTACTTTTTTTTTTTTCTCCCTGCTGGACAATCATATGATTTTCTGTACTTTCTTCTAACAGCAGGAAAACCTTGCCCAAAATTTGTCCTATTAACTTTTGATCCAGCAAATGAATACCTGTTCAGACTAGGTGAAAGCAACTCAGCAAACTGATCATTGGCATGATGTTTCTTATTTTGGGTATTTGTTACTATGTTATAGTAGCATCTCACATGCTACCTAAGAAAAAAAGGTCAGGTATGAAGGAAATATATGTCTTTTCAGCAGGCAGCAGCTCTGAAAGGCAGCACCAGCAAATCTTGATATTAAAGAAGGAATTTGTGGCACTGTAGTGCTTATACAGGGTAAGATTTCAGACAGAATTCTGTGTATTTTCTCACAGAGTTTGAAGCAAATCTGCAGGGATAAAAGCCCCTGTGAAATATGTCCTGGCACTCATTCTGCTGGCAAGCATCAACACTCATCCAGTCTCTTATGTTGTGAGAGCAGAGGAGACTACAGAATCCATTTAATTTTGTGAAATAAAGCCGGTGCTGAGACTGTTTCATGTCCTGGACCTTATGACTGAACTTCAGCTTGTGATTCTTCATTAAGATAAACCAGTGTTGATATTTATCTCTAAATGTGTCTCTGAGTTCATCTTGAGTCAAGTCTATTTCCCGTCTGAAGCAATACTCCCTGACTGCTCTGTAGGTGTTTAAAGAATTTTATTCTACCACACTGATAGGAAACATGCCTTTCAGATGGTCTCTCATAGGCTTTGCATAGGTTTTCATGACTACCGAAGTGCATCAGAGCAATCAGAGCATTTAATTACCATGGACTTCCTGGTGAATTGTACTTTTACTTTGTACAATGTACTTCTCCACCTGGCAAACACAAATCAGCATCTTTTTCTTCCTTCAGAAATTTGCCAGTATCTAAAATGTGCCAGGTGGCAGCTTGAACACCTTGAATCAGCTTTCTTTTAGCATTATGCCTAGCTTCATCTACTAGGTTAGATGCCAGGTTTTGTAGGTCAGTGTAACAAACTTTCCATCTCTTTACCTTCTATGTGTTGTAAATGTATTAAGCATTGCTTTAAAAGAGTGTGCTGAAGTGCAGACAGCAGAGAACAGGCTAACTTTCTGAATATTTACACTCTTTTGCAGACATTATCAGGAGTATATATACATCCTTTCTAGAAGGGAATTCTTCAATACCATCATCCAGATGGGATACTGCTTTCTAGTCACCTACTAGCATCTACACAGGAGCAAAGCTGGAGGAGGAAGGAGGGGAAGTTGGGTTACCTAATTCAGAATAACTGTGACTATGGGAGGTATTTCAGTTTAGTGTGGATCCTGTTGCCTGTGCTCAAACTCCATTTTTCAGTCCATAGACTGGGCTATTTATTATGAAAGAAATTAAGCAGTTTTGGATTTTTATACATGCAGAAAACAACGAAAAGTTGCATGTGGAATGCCAGGAGGCCTTCCTTCCAGGAGACTGATCCAGAATGAAAATAGGTGAACCTCTGCTCTCCTACAGTGGGTCTGCAATGATTACATGTCTTGAAGAACTTTTGTTACCATAGGATAAGAAATCAGTTATTGATCTCTTGCTTACAGTGTTGAAGGAGGATCTTCCTTGAAAGAAAATATGAACTATAGCATCACAAAGGACTGTGTTAGGAACAGTGTAAAATTGAATCTGCATTTTGCATTTCTATTTTATCTCAAAAAGTTACATTTTATGAAGATTTTACTGTGTGAAGTGGATTTCATGTGCACAGGTCCTAAATATAGTACCTAAACAGTGAAAAAAAGAACATTTAGCACTCTGGACAAAACTCTAAGAAGAAATCATTACACAGATACAAACAAGAAATAGTTTTCCTCAAAGCAGTCATAGAAATTTAAAAAACTGATAACAGGGATTAGCCCATGAGAAATGTAAGTAAGAGTGACGTGGTTTGAAGAATCCTGCACTGCTGTGGCCTGTGTTTCCCCTATTCTGTAGAAGTAGAGGGAAAGATATTTGGTTTCCAAGACTGACCATTTCAAAATCCACACCTAGAATTGGAGAGGTTGTTTAAGTCACACAGTTAAGCTCCTAAGAGAGACATCTGTTCTCAGACTACTGTTAGCTGGGATGTTTTCTGGATGGAAGAAAAAAAGCTAGAGGGCTTTCCTTTACTATAACTGTGAAGGCATTACTTACAAATGAAGCAAAAATGTTTTAATAGCTTCTCTTTAGTTTTACTCTGTGCTAACAAGCACCTAGAAGTCCTCCGCACTTCACTGATGTAGATTTGTGGCATAATGGATGCTGTATTACATCTTAAAATAAGGCAGTGAAGAAGTAGGTTTGTTCTAGACATTATTGTCTGTAAAACTCAAACCACTGTGTGTGTGAAAGGCTTCCTGTTTTAAAACTTTGAATACTTCTCTTGCAACCCCAAATGGCAAAGTGAAAAACCGGACATTATTTCTTCTGCAGTGTACTGCATGCAGACGAAAGAGATTATTCTTGCAAGTATAGTCATCTAATCTGTTAAACAAATGTTCAGGTGTAAGAGAAATCTCTAGTTGAACATGACAACTTCAGTATCCTTCCCTTCCCAATATAAGGTCGTCTTTTGTTTGTTTCTATTTGTTCATAATGTGTCTTCACTGTAGAATGACATGCAACGTGACATCATGCTGGCAGTGAGAAGAATACACTGAGTTAGTGATTTCATTTGTACCCCAGCTGTCTGGTCAGCTATGTATAAAATTGCATTAAAAGTATCAAATTCTTTTGTTTGTCTGTCTTAGCCAAATTATTTACTTAGGGTAAAGAAAAAGACTGAATTAGTCACCAGTGTCTAAAGTTACTATGCCATTCACTGTGCTTTCAGCAATGAGAACATGTAATGTATGAGTTATATCTTTACTTACTTATCCAAGACTTAATTAGAGTGTTACCATTTTAGGCCCAAAAAGGAGAGCACGGGAGAATCGAGTGAGTCTGGAGCATCTCTTGTCAAACATGGTCTTAAAGCAGAAAAAATCTTCATGCAGGTTCACTATTTGAAGGTGAGTGTTGTCAGCTGATTTTTATTGAAACTGCTTTACCAATAGGATAAAGAGTTATTTCTTCCAAACATCAGCAAATTCATAGCATCCTATTTGTTTCTGGCTTAATTTCCTGCAGGGTTATTTCCTTTTGCGGTCTCTGGCAAGGACAATAGGAGAAGCTTCATACCTTGCATCTTTACGAAAATTTGTCCATAAGTTCCATGGGCAACTTGTCCTTTCTCAGGTACGGTCCTTGGGGTTGTTCATCAATTTCTGAAAAAAAATATTACCTAAACTTTCAGTTTGACTGCTAATACCACCACTTCTGGTTGTGGTGAAGAGAGGCAATTGTAACTTGGCAATCAATATTGGTGAAACTCCTACCTGCTAGAGGGCAGAACAAACTTTTTCAGGGTGATATGTAAATCAGACATCCTGCTAGTATCTGGTAACGTAAACAATGGATGATTATTTTTTTTTTTAAGGTCAGTGTTCATAGGTGGTGATGTTCTCAAAGATAGGGTCATTTACCATACTGTAATTGTCTCCTGTAGTCTTTTACCTCATGGGTTTTGGTAGTGATCAGTCAGTCTTTTCCCTCATACTGTTTCTGATAGAGAAGAAACACAAAGTACAAATGTAACCAAAAACTTCTATAAATCATAACAGTGTATGCATGTTATATTTCTGGCTTTATTTCCTTCCTGTCTGCATGCTGTTTCATTCAATGCTTGTAATTTCACAGTCCTTCTTATGAGGACCGTCTCTTTCTCACCCAGTTGAAGTGTGATGTCCCCATCACTCTGTGGCATTGCACCCACCTTTATCACAGCTTCTGTATAGGTTTCCTCATCATGGTCTGTATTCTCATGCTTTCTAAAGCATTCTGTTACTGAAGTATTAGCCTACAAGGGATGTTTTAGATATGCTGCTTCTTTCTTTAAGTAGACTTTCTGTGTCTCCTTGCAACACAGAGTAAGGGCCTCTGATTTTGAGGGAATGAGGTCTAACACTTTCCTGTTTCTTCCAGACAGTGATATTTTTGCTCGTGTACTTGCTGTTCTGAATCTCACTCTTACTGGGTGAGATGTATGCCCATGTATCTTAAATATAGCTTACATACCTGTGGATTCTTTCATATGTCAGTTCACCCAGAAGTTTTGTATAATAGGTCTACTGCAGCACTCTGCCCTGTGCAGTAACGTTTTGGGGTGTCAAGGGAATTAATGTTTCGACTGCTGCAGCTGTTTCCTGTGCCATGTTACTGAGACCCTGAGCAGTTATGTTTGGCATAGTGTGGGAAATACCAGTGACTATATGAGCCTTGTCTACGTTGCGGTGTCCAAAATCATAAATATGGTGCTTCATTATTACACATCTGGAAACTTCTTGAAAGTTACATAAATCATGAAACTGCTAAAAACAAGAAGCAGTGTTTAAATCTGGTGGTAAGAATAGTGAGAACTTAACTTTTGGTGAGAAAAAGTTAACTTGTTTCTTCTGGTTGATGTGAGATAAGTTGTGTCAGTAGACTGTTAAAATGCTACAAAATGTCGTAGCACATTACACTATCAGTCATGATAGCTAGATTGCATTGCAATGGAACTACCCGTCTACTACAGGCTTCTCGCTTTGTCTAGCACTCTACTATAAAATGTCAATTTGTAGCATATCTAACTCCAGTCTCATAAGATGAAATACTGTATGTTGTTTCTGCACCCAGAAACAACCAGTTTGGTTACTGGGTAAAAAATTGTTCAGTGTTTTTAATTATTCAAGTAAGAGTAAGTAATGATTTTATTTCAGGCTTCTTGGGCTACTTTTTATTTGAATATGTGCAATTTATTCATAGCTATGTGCTTAATGTAGGTTAAAAAAAGATACTTTCCTTCATTTGAAGATACTTGATTCGGTGGAGAAAGATCTGTGTACTATGTAACTTCATTGTGTGCTTTTTGTGCTTTTACCTTGTTTCACAGCAGCCTAAATCCAACTCCCACTGAAGATGCTGGGAAAAGAATTTTAACATCATCGTGTTGTTTGGTCACTATGTGAAAAATGCAGAGGGGATAGGGCTACATCCAAATGTAAATGCATTTACTTTCTTTGTAAGAAATCTTAAAAGATGGTATTTATGTCAGCATCTGGTATGGGTAGATAAGCAATCACAGCAGGACTTGCAAATGAAGAAGCAATGAAGTCAAGTTAGTACAAAGTTTATTATTCAAGTTCCTTCTGAGACAAACATGCTGTCAGTGTTTAAATGAAAAAAAGATTTAAAATAAATAGAGGTGCAAATGGTAAGTTTAAATATCATAGTGTTGTACTTTCACCTTGTTCAAAATAATTGTAAAAGTTCCCAGCTTTAGTAATTGTGGGGATGGGGGGAAAGTAAAAACAGTGAAAATAATTACCCGTGTTCTGAATACCAGTCTTGTTTTCAGTGATGTTTGTAGTATTTTTCCTAGATGGGAGCTGCAGGTGCAAGGAAATGACTTCAGATGTGAAACATTAATCAGTTTGCCTTTTTCCTTTATTTTGATTGCGTGCTCAGTATGTTTTTAATAGTAGTTTTTGTTTATTTTAGTTGAGTTTGCACCCAACGAGTAAGGCAAGTCTGGAATCTTTGAGAATGATTTAAAAAAAATCTTCCATTTTTCTTTCTGTGAGAGAGTTCACTTACTAACTGCTTTGAATGAACTTTTAAAATAATGAATGGAGTGTTACTGACTATAAATAAATAGGAGTGCAAGTTTCTGATATTCTTAACACAGTTAAAGCTGTAGTTCAGTTTGATATTGAAATAGGAATACATTGGGAATTGAGTTGTTTGCAGACTTTAATTTTATGTAGTTCTGTCTGCAGCAATACTAATCCAAGGTCTGTGGTGTTCATCCATCTGGGAGAGTTATAATTTGGTATAGTAAAATGACAGTCAAGGAGGCAGTGCTTAAAAAAAATCATAGTTTATACTATTCTTAAAAGGTTTTAAGGGCAGATGTGTGGATCCAAGCCCACTGTGATGTACCTATATCAGCATGTTCCTGCACACTAACCTGCATGGGCACATACCATTATCATAATTTTATAAAACTGGTATTTGCACACACAAATCACCATTCAACTATCTGTCAGCTTGTAAACTCTTGTAACTAGAATTGGAAGTCTAAGAATGCAGTGTACATGTATTTTAATGTTGCAACCTCTAAATTCTTTTATTTAGGTAAAAGTTTAACTAAAACTTTGTCTCTGCAGTTTGGTCCCAGCTGTTCCATGCTTATTGACCTGTGAACTTGAGTGAAAACTGTTGACATCAGTGGGGCATGGCGTAGACTCTGGCGCTGTCCCATCACCATCTAGGACAGGGGTCTTCGCTTCCTACACTCTCATGTGCTTGTAAAACAGAAGTAGATGGGTCCATTTTACTCAGATTGAGTTAGCTTCCTGTTCCAATTCTTACATAAATGAACATATTCTTACTGTTGTGCACCATGCAGCCTTCATTCACTTTCCTTATATGTATGGTTTATGAAACAACCTTTAATTACTACATGACCATAGTCCTTGGTTTCTGTTGTTGTTGTTGTTGTTTTTTTCTTTTGTTTGTTTGTTTTTGTTGTTGTTGTTGGTGGTGGTGTTTTTTTCCCAAAGACCTTTACCTTATTTATGTAGAATAGTTTTTCTCATACGAAGCACCTGCTTGGTATTTTGTTCTGTGTTCATTGTTCAAGGCACTTTATTTACCATGGAGTATGCTTTTCTTTCTGTTCAAATTTTAACAAGTAGAAGGCAATAAAAAAGACTGCTTCAGTAGGTGAGACATTTTAACCTGAGATTAACTGTGTTTAAAATGCTTATGTATGTGACAATTGATTAATGTATGGATCAGTTAATTATGTTGCACATTTTGACAACCCATTGTGTTCGCATATAAAAATCTGACTAGCTTTAGGCCATATTTCTATTTCAGTACAAGTATCTTGAAAGAGGAACATATGAAATACTGTGCTTGAAGTATAAGTAAGACTAGATTAGAAGTCACTAACGTGGTATAAGACAAGATGATCTTTTGTTAGAAAACTTTCTTTTTTCTGATATACTTTTTTCATAATTATGTAAAATGAACTGTGTATTTTAAAGGACAGATAGATCAGAATGAATTAGGGCTAGAAATGGAACTGGAGAAGAAAGCAGAAGGTAGTGAAGCTAAGAGGGCCCCAGATGTTTTACAATCATGTGTAATACAGATGAGTAACGAAAAGGTCAGTTAATGTGTCACACATTTTAATGTCCCACAGTAGTTGTATAAAAAAGACAAGTATCTTTTGGCATCATTTATCTCAAGTATGAAGATCTTAAAAGAAGCAGTAAGTTTTACACATGTAATTGTCTGCTATTGTAGAAGTGACCCATATATCTGAAAATGTCTTGGACTTTTCTGATAAAGCACACAAATCCTTCCCATAGCTGCTGAACTTACCAGGTCTTGAGCCTTAGTCGTCAACTGTGGAGTGTCTCTCACTCATCTGCTCACCTAAGGTTTTTGTATTTACTTAGCTTCCATTTAGCATCTTTCAGGCTTAAAAATACATAATAGCTCATTATGCAATATCATTTGATAGGAAAAAAGATAAATTCTTTAATTCTGACCAGAGCAAACTGGCAGGGGAGTGCTCCCAAATCATGTGGGTTTTATTAGTGCTGAATCACAGCGCCAGCTTTTGTTTGATTTAGTGAGCTGTATTTAAAATAATCAGTCAAATGCATCTTACATGATTTTCTTCTGGATAGTCTTAAAAGAAGTCCAAAGAATGAATGAGGGCTCTATGTAGAACCATTGATACATAACAGATCTAGTTCCTCATCTTTTTCTTAGGTACATATGTGTGTTCTTACACGTCTATACATGTAAAATAGAAGGCATCTGTATTTAATTTAAATTTTTAGGTGGTGATATATTTAGTATTTTTAGTGGACAGTGAGAATTTGTATAACTTCTGAAGAAATTAAAACATTTCAGTTGAGTATGAGACAACATAGGCTCTGGTGTCAAATTGTTAGGAGAAGGCTGCATGCCTTCACTTCCCTGCCTGGGGTCTAGTTTGAACCTTCCCATCAATATGGTGAGGAGGAATGCCAATGCTTTGTTCAGGGAATTAAGTGACAGTCAGCATACTTTTTCCAGCTTATCTGGTCCCTGAAGGGACTTACCTGCTCTGAGGTGTTTTGACATGTATGAAGATGTTTGTTGTGAAAGACCTGGAGCTCTGACAGAAACCCTTTTGCTAATATAGCTGGGGTGATTTAAGACTTACTTCCCTTAGTTAGTCATGCTGTACCTAAGAGGACAAATTCAGTCTTGTTAGTATGGACAGTTTACTAAGATTGGTTTGTGTGAAAGCACTGGACTGTGAATTTGGGCAGCTCAGGCAGGGATACCTTCTGCTGCTGTGCCACACAGGAACAATATCCCCAGTCAGAGAAATTCCAGGGATATCATCCAGGGGGCTGATATCACCTTAAATATCCACAGGAAGATTTACCAGAAATCCTAGTCAGATCCTTGTATGTGCTGTGTTTTCTTGTTTGCCACAGTAGCTAATAACTTTTCTTTAGGAAATTCCTAGTGATCTGAATGCAGTTCAGTGGCACAGGGTAAACGGGCAACAAATTCTGGTTTTGACTGTAGCTAGTAAGTGGCTCTGCCAGCTGGGGCTTAAACTGCTAAGCAGTCTGGCTAATGATTGCTGCCTGATAATAGAGCATGTAGTTGGGGAGTCATGATTACTCTTCATAGGAAGTTGTCATCTTTGGAAGGGCATTCTGGGCTTATCAAAACCCCAAGAGAAGGATTTCAACATGGTGCTGATTTCGTTAAACAAAAGTTAAGAAGATGAAGGAGGTGGGAGGAGTTCCAAATAAACAGGATACTTACTAGTAGGGATGCTCATTATTTATTTTTCCACCCAAAAGGGACAAAGCAACATTAACCATTTAGTTATGTCATTTACAGACTGCATAACTGATAGGGATAGTTTGAGTGGGTAAATTCCGTAAGGAATTGGATGTAAGTGCATTTGGAGTTTATTTGTTGGCCACTGAATGTCTTTTTAGATACATCACTTTTAGTCATGAAATCTGCATTGCTCCTATGCACCCCACTTATATTTCAGTTAGAGAATTTAACTGAAAGTATCTGTTGGTCATAGAGTACTTGAAATATCTCAATTTGAGGTTTTCATAAAGGGGATATAATTTGTCTTTTAATATTCAATGTTCTGTATTTAATATAAAAATGTGTGATCAGAGAGAGATAACCATCAGGTGTCCCAAAACAGTTCAAGAATAGAAACTTGCTTGTCATTGCTCAAGGCAAGAATTGGACTAATAATATAGCATCTTTAGTCATGACACAAAAGGTCTTATAAACACAGATCTGTCTAGTTACTACTTCAAGTAGCCTTCATTCCTAGGGTTCTCAGAATTACTTCTCATAACCTACTTCTCAGTCATTGGGTCCCCACTCTTTGCCTTTGACTCAGACATGCTACGTGCATTAACAGTGCAAAGAAAACTTCTCCTTGATTTCAATTCAGTCAGTATCCAGATCTGATCTGCTCAGCAGCAGCCCAAAGTTGCAGTTGTGATTAAAATTGTTGGCTTCAGTCTGGACTACGGTGAGAGCAGACAAGAGTCTTTAGGGAATTTAATTATGAGGGTGTAGCAAATCCTTAGCAAACGTGTGTGAACTCATTTTTCAAAGGCTTTTTCAGTTTGGCCAAGTGTCAACAAAATTCCACAAACTGCAGAATAACAGTTCCTTTATATAGGGAAAAGTTGTTTTCTAGCCTCTGGGTTTCCAGCCAGGGATGAACAACAGGAGTATGCAGGGAAGTAAGATTATTTAATCATAGGAATATAAGCCAGTTTGCTAATAATGCAGCACTGTGGTGGCATGTGATTTCTAACTCATGTTTTCTTTCTGGCTTCATCAAATTACTTGCAACAAAGACAAAAAACAAAATATAACTTGTTTTAAGAGCTGACTCAGCATTTATTTATGACTACCCTGATCATTCACAAGTCTTTGCTTCAAAGTATAAGGTCACCAGAATCTTTTAAGAAATGGCATCAAAGCTTAAAACCCCCCACATTATTCCCTAACTTTTTTCTTGGACACTTCTCTTGGACACTTCTGAACCATTTCATCTGGGGAGGAAGAAAAAAAATGCCTGAGGATAAAATTTCACTCCAGATGGTTGAAGTTTGGCAAAATTATGAGCAACTGAAAAGTGAGACCTATAATGGGATGTGTCATGCAGACTTGATAATAGGCAAATGTTAAAAGCCACACAAATGTGAGGTAAGTGGTAATTTGTTTTTCTACTCTGTTTTAGAGCATCAAAATAGAAGCAGTTAAGATAGAATAGATTAATCATAATTTTAAGAAAGTGTGTAGAATGAGAGTTACTCCCTTGTTCTTAATAGATAAAAATTAAGACACAAATCTCCTTTAATCACAAAGGAGATGTTTAATTTCATAGTACAATATACAGAACATAAAACCACTTCTAATACCAGAGATATCTTCATGTATACTGTGGGATTGATTATAAAAAGTTGATGCAATCCAATCAGGGAATTTAGCTGCATTAACGTATACAGAAAGAGTGCAAACAGCACCATGGATGACCACTTCAGTATTACTTTTCCACACTTTTGAAACAACTCTAATGATGATCTTTTCATATTCTTTATTTCCATGTAATGTTACTCTGTACCTCCAGGAAAGCTTCCACAAGTGGAAGGAGACAGTAGTTCTCTGTTCACATACAGAATAATGGTACATAACTGCAAGTAGTAGTATGAAATAAGGGGATTTCACACTTTATCATCACGTCAGCAATACACTGTAGTTAGGACAGCATAAATCCTGGCAGTTAATTCTTGCCAAAGCAACACTGAGCACAGCGCTGTGTAATTTACCTTTTGTTGTAAGCAAATTTTGTGTCCAGTGCAACATAGTCTGAATCTCACTTGTAATCTAAAGGAAGAAGGTTTTAACTGTGTTACCAGTAGTTTCAGTTGTGCAATCACTCTTTCTTTTTTTCCCTAACAATGCTATAATCAGACAGAGAAAGCATATTTTGTTGAATGCCATGATAAAGTACCTAAATAAAAGTTTTCTGCCTTTTAGGAAACATTCTTCAAGACGTTAGAAATCATGTACTTCCAATCAGAAATGCACCTGCATTCATGTATTGCAGTGAGGAACATCGCTAGCCTATGAAACTTGTCTCCACAAAGATTAGTATCAATAAAGTGGTTGTATTGTTTATGGAATAACATATAAATGAATAAATAATATTAATAAAACCTCTTCTCTTGAGATTGTTCAGAGTGCATTGTGTCAAAGCGATTGTCATTAAAATTAGGTCATGTGTATTGTGGGGTGCCAAAGAACCTTTCAGTGATGTCAGGTGTAACTTTCTAAAGAGGGCTTATACTTTTGTAAGTGAGGACAATAGTAATGCTGTTCCATTGGCATTGCACCTTCTTTGTAAATCCATGAAAGAAATTCTATCTACCTTTTCTTTGAAGAAGATTTACTCCTTAGTTGATGTAGTTGGCAGCAATATTGCCAATTTTGTCACAGAATGAGGAGTAGGTGAGTAGGTGTGATTTTCCAATCAGGTATGTGCATTAAGGAGAAAAAAAAAAGCTTTATGTGATTATATAATTAAAGACAGTGTGATAACATAAGCACAGCAGAGAGAGCATAAACATCCTTAATTCTAGTGTTTCTTAGCCTTGAGTATATGCATCTGCAGCCTTTGACAGTTTGAAATATAGTTTGTGTGTGTGTATTATAGATTAAATAAAAGTGGGAATGTGGGATTGTGTTAAAATAGTCAGCAGGCATTTCAAGCCCATTTTCCTTCAATATTGACACTTTTTGCTTGAGTGGGTTGGAAAACTGACAAACATAACGTATGTTGTATAAATAACTGAGCAGTATGTCACCATAGTGGATATCTAAACTTACTTCTTACAATTCTCTAATCTGCAGTCTTTAAAAATCCATTGCTCACTAAAAAGACACACACAGAGTTATGTCTTCATAAACATATTAACTATGGCGCTTTGTTCGTTTTCCAGGATTTTCTTTGCATGCTGCTGGAAGACATCCCTGAACAAAACAAGTAAGTGAAAACCAGGCTAGAAAAGTCAAAGAAGAAAGTAGAAATCAGATTTAAGTACCAGCTGTGCTAGATAACAATAGTAGGATTTTGTTTAGTATTGTTCTGCTTGTTTCTTTCAAGTGTGTGTGTGTATCTTTCTCTGAAAATCCTCATGCACATATACACAAAAAATATGAGACTTGCTGTGTTACTGCGGTGCCATGCTCCTCCCAAGCAGTGCCTTGAACTTGCATGTTAGGGCATCAGCGAGGTCCTGTGTTCACTATGCAATATGAAGTGCCAGGCACAGCTGCCTGCTGAAACTAATCTGTGATCCTCCTGCCAGCTGCTTTTGCCACATGGCACCCTAGGGCAAGGCGGCCAGAGCTTTGCTGTGGATCTGGGAAACCAGAGAAGATGGATTTTTCACAAGCAGTAGTCTGGTACCATCCCCTCCCTCTCATACAGTGTGCCAAATGGGGGAGGATGGAGAACACTCCCAATCCAGCATTAACTGCCTGGAATGCCTTTCAAAGTCCTCCAACATGTGACTGTGACTGGCTGAAGATGATACTGCCAGTCTTTGGCAGAGCTCTGAATCCATCCCTGCTTATCCACTGGTTTGTTCTGTGCTATTACAGACTGTGCTACAATTACAGGTTCTTTTGCAGCGAAGCTTTACATATTACAGTTTTTAAAAATGATGTATTCACTTAAAAAATGCAATTCTGAGGAGCAGGATTCCCAAAGTCTTCATAAATCTGGGTGCCTGGTTTGAAAAAAAAACGAGAGAAGATATTCATAGATATCAAATGTATTGAGTTTTTTAGTGAAACACTTCTGTTCTCAGAGGGTGAGGGACAGAGAAGCTAGTTATCATTGAGATTTGTAGCATCATGAGTTTAGTTTGGGCAGTGTTCCATTTTCCAGTGATATACCGTAGGATGGTGTTTTGTTTAAATCACTGGATATGGGTTTCCAGCCCAAATATATGCAGGGATATTAATCTGGAATAAATGGAAAAGTGGCTTTTCCCAATGGCATGGTTATACATTGATTTGTTAATAAAATCTGTTTTCCTTCCTTTTTTCACTTGTGTTTCTCTGAAGTCCAAACCGAGTGCAAAATCTTATTTGAATAAGCATCGCACTTCCCACCTAGAAACATGCCAAAATATGAACTTTCAGTGAGAATAATGCAAAAGAAGTATGTCTCCATTTGCTTTGCATCACACACCAGAATGTATGGACAAAATTTCAGATCTGTGGTAATTCATTTTACGATCAGACATATCTGAACTTACCTACTGCCAAAATTACCTTGGGTGCAGATATCAACAGCAATGCCAAGAATAATAGAACATCTGGATATACAGAAGGCCTTTATTTTCTAAACTTCTACAAAGACGGTTTTTTCATTCTTGAATGTACTCTGTTGCTAGTACACAAATACAAGCCTGAGGTAAAAGCAAAGAGAGCAAACATAATAATGAAATATTTTTACAGATCATCTGCTGTGATGAGTGCTTTTTTGCACAAAGTTTCAGTCATAGGAATGAAATGCATTTCAGGATTAGCGAACAAAATTCTCTGTAGCACACAAAAACTCCCAGACTTGTGCAATTCTACCAGGTAAAATTTTAATGTTTAAACTAGGTGCTTCTTACGTGAAAAAGACTAAGTACTCTGATATACTCAAGTTTGTAACTGAAGCTGGACTCAATCATAAAAAAAAAAAAAGACAGACATATTACTAGTAGGGAATCAAGCCAAATCATTCCCTCAGCTGTGGCAATAGTGGCAAACTAGTGTAGCACTAGGAGTAGAGTGTGGTTTATGGGAAACTTTTGTAATGAGAACAGGATTAACACTGTCAGAAAGCAATCATATAGCAGTGTGGAAATTTTCTGTAATTATTAGACTGGAGTAATGCAATAATAGCTTTCTGCTACTGGATACAGCAGACTACATTGAAAAGATTCTCACTCTTCCAGTACTTAATTCCTTTAGCTCTTAGTTACAAGACATTTTTTAGTACATTCCCAGCAATGAGCCATTCCAGGATACAGACATAACTCCTTAAGCGGCAGTCATTGATTTTTGCTGCCTTCTGTACTCAGAGGAAGATGATTATATGCCTAGTTTATAGGGCTACTTCACTTCCTGCCCTGACTCAATTTTAATGGCGTATTAGGTGTAGGAATCCATTCTGCAAGGCAAGATCCTCCTGTTTCTCGACTGTGGCTGAGTGCTGACAGCACTATCTTCTGCTCCTGTGTATGAAGGGCTAATGGTGAGAAGGACAAACAGTATCTATCATTATCCTTCTCTGTTTTCAAAGCTTTTTAAAATATAACACATACTGGCTGTAGTCTCACATTATTTTGGCCTTTCTGTAGAAAATCTACAGTATTTCCCATCTGTAACTGAGGCATTTTATTTCCTCATATGTAATTTGAAACTTCACTACAATAACAAAAAAAAAAAAACAACAAAAAAAATAAATAAATAAAAAAAAAAAAAAAAAAACAAAAAACAACAAAACCACAAGAAAACAAACAAGCAAAAAACCCAAACAACTAAGCCAAACAACAACAAAAGATCCCCTTATGTGTCTGCATATCAGTGCACTAGATTTGATAAAACTCCCAGTGGCTCTGTTCTCCCCAAGGCTTACACCCATAGTCTTTGCTGTAAATTGATCCTCTCCACATCTGCCCAACATGTGAACTGTGCAAAACCTCAGTGTTTTTAAGGCCCTGTAACAGAGGGTGAGTTACACCAGCCTCAGATAAATCAGAGTCGCAGCTGCTTGTGCTGTGTACCACTGAATAATTTTTTGAGCAGGTCAGTTCTGTTCTTTGGGGGTTTTCTGATGGTATTTTTTAATATAATTTTATTCAGGAAAATAAGTAAGTATACTAATAAAGCTATGAGTTTAATAATACACAAAGGAAGGCTTGTATTACACCTCTGCTATTTGTACTATTAATAACTCAGACTTACTAACCACATTCCTTGGATGTCTTCATAAATTGTCAGTTAAGTACTAAATCAATGTTAAAAAACGCTGCAATTTCAAACTACTCAGCTATACAGGTAAATGTCTCTTTCATACATGCTTTCTTTGTTACTCACATTGTCATGAATGTAGTGATTTTGATTGAGACAAACAGCTGGTAAGCACCTAGCTATCAAAGCAAATAATTTGGAAAGATTTTTCCCAGTGCTTTCGACTCCTCCATTTTTTTTTTGGTAAGCCAAAATATATATATGCTGGACAAAACACAAATGAAATCTTATCTGCAGGAAGCTATTGTTAGTTAACAAAATCACTAAGCAGTCACTAGTCTTTGATTTCCTCTGTGTCTCCACATTAGCTGGAATAGCTTACTTTGAAATGATTTATGTGTACGTATGTATATATCCAGATGAAGCAAATACACTTGTTGAGTCATTTTCAGTTGGATATGGCAGAGTTTTTACGTTCCCTTATTTAAAAAAAAAAGTTTCACAATTCCATGTGCACTGTTCATTTGCTGCAACATCTTATTCTAAAAGTGGTTTCTTCTTGACTGAGGAATTAAGTGGGTTTATGTTAAAGTTTGTAGAGTGCCCTGGGGCCTTGTGCAATGAAAACTTGATATATTGACGTATTTTGTAATGATAATTTTCAAATTATCATTATTGTTAGTATTTTGCAGAGCTTGCCCTGAAGCATTGAATCTGGCCGTGAATAGTATGTATGCATGTTAGATTGTTCCTTGGATGATCGGCTTATCATCTAAACAAATAGACAAGGGGTGAGATAACAGATGTAATAGCACTCTCATTTTACAGTAGGGAACAAAGCAGTAGTACAAAGCAGTTGAAAAGCCCAGCCTTGTAAGAGCTCTGTTATGGTGCTCATCAGCTGAACCCAGATCCCACAGTCCAATACAGTACCTCAACTAGAAGGCCATTCAGGAAATAGCACACATCAGATTTAAGTTTTTACAGGTGCTTAACTGCAGCATAAGCAGATTGTAAATGCCCTTTCTGAATATACGTTTCACTGAACTGCAGCCTCTACAAACATCAGACCCAGTGTCCTTTCTCTAGGACATTTGTTTTGAAATAGCAGTCTGTCTGTGATCTATTTTTTGGGCTTGATCTGAAGCACAGTAAGTTAGTGGAAGCCTTTCCAAGGACTTCAGTTCTTCAGCACTGACTCTTAACACAGTCAGCGTAGATCTTTGCAGTAGTCTGCATATTACTAATATATTTGGAAAAAAAGAAGTGAAGGCCTGTAAACTGCTAAAAAAAGTTGCTTTTTTTGATGGGTGCCAACAAGAATGTCCTAAGCTGGAAAATAAAAAAAAAGGTGTGTGCAAGTGCAAACAAAGATTGCATATAGTCATATGATGGGTGTTTAGCTGAAACTGAAGGTGCTGTAGGCAGAGAAATAGTAGCACTGTTGTCTTTGCCCTTGAGAAAAGCGTCAAAGTTTCAGGAGCGGCTGAGCAGCTTACTAGCGGTGTTTCTGCCTGGATTAGTACAGTGTCAGAACAGTGCAACTCCCCTCAGTGTCACAAGTTCATTTCAAATATGGTGTTTTGAAATGAGCTCTTGTTGGCTTTAAAAGAAATAGAGCGTATATTTTAAAAAGGCACTGCATAACAAATGTAGCATAGATTATTTTGCATAGATTTTTTTTTTTTTTTCTGATAAAATCTCACACTTTATTTTCTGGGGAAAAAGAAGTCATGAACAAACTGGCATTGTGAAGCTGTATTTGTTACCCGTAAGTAAGACAAATTAAATGCACAGATAAGGGTATTCTTCCCAAGCTGCTAGTTCTGCTTCAGCATTGGAACTCTTAAGCTGTATTACTTTTGATTCATGCAATAACAAATTAAAAATTGTCATTCTGATTATGCTGCTTGAGACAGAATAAATGGTATGATCCACCTCATCTACCTTTGACTATATAAAATTTGGGTGTCTGGTTTTATCTTAGTATGTGCCCTCTGTAATAACCAGACAGAAATAAGAACTCGGAAAAACACATCATCTTGTCCCAAGAGAGGTGAACTGACTGACTGAAATACTTCTCTTTCTCTGCATTCCCTGTGGAAGGGACTCAGCTAAATAACTTAGACTAGACATCAATTTTTAGAGCTCTGTATTAAGGTGAAGGTAATTACAGCCTGAAGGATATAGCAGTTGAATACTCTAAATTTAATAAATTTACACAAAGTACTACTAAAAGCTGACCGAATCTGGATGTTCAGTAATTCATTTGAATGCAGATCACTACCCAATTGCAAGCATGGTGTGTATGTTCAGTTATATGTAGAAAATTGATTTCCATAATGATCAGACATGCAGTATGGAAATTTCCTGAAAATTCAGAATCCTGGGCGTGTAGAAATGCTTCTGCTTGACTGCCACAATTATCTGAACCACATGATCAGAGGGAAATTTTTGTCTGTGATAGTCTATAATCTCCTAATGTTACAAGAGATAGTTAGACATTTCAGATTTCATGATTGAGAAGATTTCTACGTCTCTATGGGAATTACTCTCCCCTCTGAGACTTTTCAAGTCACCTCAGCCAGGCTATATGTCATCTGTTACTTGTAAAGACATTGTTGAAGTAAAGTTTGGACCTAAATTACATGAACTATCAAAATATATTACCAGCAGCAAATAGATTAGGGATGTTTCCACAGTAAGCTTCCTTGGCCTGCACCTTCAGATACAACAGATCAAAAACTAAGAAAACTATTAATACAAAATTACAGCATGTATAAATGGCTTTATTGTCATTGTAATCTGGTTTTTTTTTTCCTTTCATCTGTCACTTCTGATTTTCAGTATGATGCTGTAACCCACGTATGCAAGCATATCTTAGTAGCTGAATGACATAGGGCAGTTTTTGTAAGGCAAGACTTCCTTATATTTAAGGCACTTGGTGTCTGGTTTCTGCCTTTGTTACAAAATTCCTGTGTATGTTGGACAAGCTTATTAAAACCAGATTGCTTATTTTTTGCATACACTGTTGAACAACTACTCAATGAGAAGCCAGATGACTCCCTATTTTGATCAGATTCTCTGACCCCTAATTCACAGTGGCAGAATTTTATTCTAATAGGTAGAACTAGAAAGGTCAATTTAATAGACGTCCTTCAAAATACTGCTCAGTGTGAACAGGGATGGCAGATCTCCCACCACAATGGTGTTGAAGCTGTTAATTCTACCTCAAAGGAATGCTAATATATAGTTCTCCTTGGAGATGGATGGTAAATTTTTCATCTTGGATTCAACAAGGATAAGAATATCTAACTCAGGATATCACAAACGGCTGGCACAGTGCTGTTGTTACACCTGTTAATATCAGTAATTTAAATCTTTGATAATTCCAAATAAAACTAGCCAAGTTAAAAAAAAAAAAAGTAACATGATCAGTAAGCACAGAAATTTTTACTCTGTGTGTTCAAGAGTCATCCACTAGCATACTGCTTTATTGCTTTTGAGATTCCATAAGCTCTCTAAGCCTTAGTTTTTCAATTTGAATGTCAGTCATAATGGTGATTGATCTTTCTCCCATTGGCATAGCAAAAATTAATATTTAAAAGTGTTTAAACATCATTCAGTAAAAATGACTGATGTATTCATTACAAATCCTTCTTAGTCACTGATACAGTCCATAAATAAATCTCCTTTAGGGTCACAAATTTGAGCCATGGCAGGGGTTGGTGGGAAAAAAAAAAGACTTCTTTGTCATGTAATTCAAATTTAAATAATATTGGGTTGCTTGTGTTCCTGTTTCAGAGCTTCGGAACGGCTGTTCTTTTCATTAATGCTTTGTTGGTTATGGGTTTACATTAAATATATGAAGGTAGCTGCAAGTATTAGGATGAGTCTTGCCAAAGCATTACCATGGACATGACTATGCACATCTATTCTGTTTCTCAGAATATTTACATTCATTGTGGGCTTACTTAAATTCCCTTTTTCAGTACTGGATTTCTGCATGGACAGTGTGATTTTTTCTTTTACCTTTTTTTTTTTTTTTTTTTTAAATTCGCTTCCCTGCAAGTTAGGAAGTCTTCAACCAGAGTTGAAGTAAATGCAACAGAAGTTGCTTACAAAAGTAAAAGGGGAAATAGAATTTCTAAATTTGCAAATACTTAATGCATGTGGTTATTTCAGTGCCACACAGCTTGATCACGACAAACTACTTCCTTTTGTTGGGGCCCCAGACTATTCTGTGACTTCACTGTGAATATTATCAGGTATAAAGAAACTGCAGAAAAGATGAAACTAAAATATATTAGATATTTGGTAACTTTGAAGATTAATATCCATCAGTGCCATTTAAAACCCAGAAGTTTAAGGAAGTTTGTATTTAATATAATTTTCTTCAGTGTTTTATCCTTACATTTAGGCTGCTTCTGTAATAAAATACTGGTTTTGAATGTCCCTGTCTAAAATACACTTGCCTGTGATTTTTTTTTCTGTAAAAGAAACAAAAATCCACTCAACAAGAAGTAGAACACCTGTTCATACTTTACATGTTTCATAAATGCACTTTACCATCTTACAATTTCTCTGTCCATCCACATAAGCACTGAATTTATCATTTGAGTTTTCAGCACACAAAACCTGATCTGTTTTTAATTTGCTCCTTATCACCCCTGATAGTATTATACATTAAAAAACCAAGCATGTAGTACCACTGAACTACAACCAGTACTTGGATTTCAGGATTTTTCTCAGCTTCTACAGGGTTAATTTTCATGTGGGAAAATTGGTATTTTTGTGTGGTGTGTCTTCTAATTTTGGGGATTTTTTTGGTGTTTTTTTGTTTTTTTTTTTTTAGATCTGGGTTAACTGTAGAAAGTATCTTCCAGAATTGGCTCGACACTTCCGGAATACCAAAGGTAAATACAAAATACCAGTTCCCAGTTCTTTCTGGAGTCTTGTATTTCTCATTACATTATATGTTATTTAAATTGTTACCTGAACTTGTAACAGGTGTGGTTTTAAATAAACAGTTTTGATGATGCCTGCTTTCTGCATCTTTATATGGGTTTAGCTTTCATCAGTTGCAGATTTTTGCTTCCACCATCATCTCAACAAACCTGCCAAAGGGTAAATCTTACAAAAACTTATCCTGTTGCTTGATAATGTAGTCACATGGAAGTATGCTTTATAGTATAGTGATAGATTCTACTAAATGTAAGAAGCATTGTTTACAGTTGTCAGTATATTAATTACTTGAAAGCCATACTGACAGCAGTAACTAAATGTTAAATTATTTGTACTTTGATATTTTGTGAATATTGTGGCTTGCGTATGAATCTGCTGCACGGGTAATGTATTTCATTGGTGTTCCAGTTTTGTTGCAGTTCAGACTGAGCGTTATTCTCTGCTTCTAATACTAAAAGATTTTAATATTACTCTTTTAAATTCTGTGAACTGAAAATGCTTAGTTGTGTCTGTGCTACGTAAAGGCTCTGGTTATTCATTTTGATGCAACACTGGGATTAGCTGACAAAAAATATACCTGTATAAATCTTCCTAAAAAACAGTTTTGTACAAAGTGATATTTTATTATACACTTGGGGCTCAATTTGTAACTCATTTCTTCAAAGCTGGCATCCTCTGGGTTGCTTGGGATTTAGCCTACCCAGTGCTTGCACTTGTTTCCGCTTTGCAATAGCATTTAAAAAACAAAACAAAACAAAACAAAACAGCACTTTTAAGAGTTGGAATGATAAATCCTGGTTTGTAGGTGCAAAAGTGGTAGTACTTAGGCAGTATGACTGAGACTCTGAGGAGTGAGAATGTTTGCAGTAGAATTGTCATATAGCTGGAGAACTCAATACGATAAGCAGTGGCCACTGAACCTGAGCTGTACCTCAACACTGAGGTTGAGCTGTTCGGACAGCTTTAGAGGTGTGCATGTTCACCATTCTCTGTATACTGTAAAATGTCTTTGGGAATTTTAACCTGAGATCAGAATGTTCAAAGACGAGTATCTGAAGATGCTGTAAAATCAGGGTGGAGGGTTTTTTTTTTCTGTAAAATTATTGAAAATAAAATTAGCTTTACTTGGAAGGGAGGAAAGGAAGGGACTGTAAGTATGATTATGCATCTTGATGTTCAGTCATTTCTTGAAAAAGGACCTTGATTTTAATGCTATGTTTTGATTAAGGTTTTGTTCCTGATAAAAGAAATCAATACATTGTAGGACAACTGCTTCAAATACAAGGAAGAAACCAATGTTGTACAGCTATAGTTGTAAGATGCTGAACTGGCTGTCTGAAATGGAAGAGTTTTATGGCATTTTACTTGCATGTATCACTTTGAGAATGTGCCTTATTAGTGTCCCACAATCAAATGTAAAATCACAAATAAGGAAGATTAAATTCTTTAATCTTGAGACTAAAGAAGTTTAAATGGTTTTGATGAATGTGGAAACCGAATTCTGTTTTCCTTAGTACCATAAATTGTTCAGAATGAATAATGAGTAGTTTCACTATACCCTGCAAGTATCGGATGTGAAAAATATTTCCACACCCAGAAGGCTTGTAAATCATTGTAAATTTTCTTTAAAGACTAACGAGATTTCCCTGGTAGTTTGGCTGCTCTGTAAAAATAACGTCAACAGGAATGGTGTAGATTTAGCATTCTGCTTCTTACCATCAGCATGCTGACCTTTTCCCTTTGTCTCTCTCATCCTTCAGTAACCTTTTTGATGATTTACCCTTGTTGCCTTCAGCACATCTCAGGCTCTTATAGGAACTAGTTTCCACTTTACTGAAAGATCTGGAGTTGTTGTCATCCAGTGAACAGGAAATCTAGTTTCCTTTGTGCTTCATTAAATCATTTGGGGAGCCCTTATTCCTGAAATCAAGGATGTAGAGGTTGCTTAGTAGCTCTCAATACATTAGTATCTGTAACCTAAATATTACTGTATGTACTAACTACAGAACTATAAATCTACTCATGTGCCATACAGGAGCTGATATTGAAAGCCCCTTAAGAAGTATTTAGATTATTTCAGCAAACTATTAACTTGGCTAATGTGATGAATCTATGTGAAGGCACACAGACCACCTTCTTACACGCTGGTGAGCTACCTGCATCATAAATAGCAGCCCAGGAATGCCACAGAACTGACTTAATCTCTCTCATATGGGTTGCCAGGTGAGTGGACTAGGGTGTGCATAGAGGAAGGTTTCTGTTGGCTCCTTTGGGCGAAGTCATAGGCTGAGCCAGCCAGCCAGTCAGGCATGAGCAGTATGAGATATGGAGCATCCACGGCAGTTGACTGCCTTTCTTGAGTACTGGAGCAACAGAAAAGCAGCTGGTGAATCTCTGCTCCAAAGATGTCCCAAAGGCAGAGACACAGCTTCCTGCGCCCTACACAGGATTCAGCAACTTTCTGCATATCACCCTTATTTTACTGACTGTAGTATAGAGTCCTGTAACATGATAGTTGAAGTAATTTGTAATCCTGCAGCACCTACTCTTAGATAGACAGAATGTATTTCTTAGTGGTTTAGTAGATACCTGTGACAAATAACTTGATTGAGAATTTAAACTTTTTAAATGTACAAATACTATCTAAGTCTTCACTGCATTTGGAGTGGAAGCTTCCTTACTGGAGAGACTATCCTCTCTGATGGGATTGGGAAATACGCATCACGATGTCCATTCTGCAAATCAAGTCAGGGCATGGTTCCTTTATATCTCTCCTGTTTGAGAATGTTCATATTTTATAGTGGCTGTGGTTATTTCTTTGACATCTTTTATTTCTATGTTTTGGTGGGTTTTGCTCAGGAAGTTCGTGTCATCCACTGACTATGAAGAAAATTCACCACTTATGGTTCATTTACAGCAATAGCTACCAAACTGTTTTGAAGAATCTTCTGCAGTGGTTATATTCAAATCTATCACCTGTACACAACTGGTACTCTCCAAAAGTTTTAAAAAAATACAGTCACTTAAAAACAGAGTTGTTGGCCACTCCTCAGTTCACTATTTTCACAACAGTCTCTAGTTTAAGGACACTGGAAGGGTACTTCTGTAAAAGATGAATGAGGGTAGATACTTTCCACTCCCCAGTACCTCCTGAAGCAACATTACTTACCATCTTCCTTCCATCAGAGGAATTAGCATATTGTATTCTTTACATTCATATGTCATGGCAACAGTCTAACTGAAGATCCTGTACTCCTTTACCTGTGCTTTGTTATGTTTGCCATTCCAAATTGTGTCACCAACTCTGTCCAGAGAACCACATATATATAACCCTTTATACTTGCAACTTATAACTGTTGAAACTTTAATATTTGTCAATTTCTATTATCATTTAACTCTTGGAAAATCATTTGGTCTTTTCTAAATATTGGACTAGTTTCCAGGCTCATGCATATACCAGCAGTAATCAAGAACAGTTTAACATAGGGAAGTCATACTGATAAATAAAAAACAGAATTTGGCCTGTTGCCATGAAAGAATAATTTTGCATGCCAAGTTATGCTACCATATTTGGTATTTTCTGAAGCATTAAAGGTTAATATTACAAAAACGGTGTGTGGTAATGCCAGGCCAATTCTTTCTTATATGGAAGAGTGCCACAGCACAGCAGTTGTCTTCAGGCTTGCTGTGCAGGAAGGTTTTCTCACACACCTGAAACAATAAGGAACATAAAGAGATGAAAAGCAAACATTTCTGAAATACAAGCTTTCATGAGAATTTTTTTCTGGGAACGCATCATGGTGGTGTTGAATAAGGTGATGCATATTGTGTTGTTGAAAATACCTTTTATCAAATCAGACAGGCTTCAGCATGTACTTCTGTCTCACAGGTGACTCACTTGGGGTTTATAGCAATTTTTCATCATGTACAAGTAGTAATGACTTAACACCACTAACTGTAGTCAATGAATTAAGCTGGCAAGCAGTAGAATCAGAAGAACAAAGCAGTATTTAGAGCTGGAAAACACCTATGAAATCATTTAAATTCAATTCATCTCTGCTGCTGCTGATTTGTTCGCTTAAGTACAGTTTCTGTTGTGTCTTTCAGTCTATGTAATGTTTAATTAGAGTTTAAAAATAGAGGACCATATGCTTCTTGAGAAATATTTTCTCAGTTTTGCACAGACTTGTCTTTCTGTTACATTATCCAGTTACTCTTACCTGAATTTCATATTCTACCCTAGATAATTAACCTTTTAAAAATATGCTTCAAATCCTTCCCCATTTTGAACTCTGTTGTACACTGTTTGAGGAGACCAATAAACATAGGTAGTCTCTGCATCTCATAAACAATTCCTACATGTATTTTTTTAACTCATTCCAGTTTCACCACCTTTTCTCTTCCCTCTGAAACTGCAGTTTCATAACATACTATTACTTACTAGTAAACTGGCTATCTTGAGTGTTCCTTGGGTGTGTTTTTCATTTGGCACCTTGTGTTATGAAAATGATGTTCTCCAGATTCATTCTTCAGTTAAAAAAAAAAAAAAAAAGAGGGGGGTGCGGGGAGAAGGAGGAAAAAGAAAACAAAAAAGTAGTTGGCTGGCTCCTTTATGATTTTCAGTGTCTTTTAGTATACCAGCAGTGTAATCTACAAGACTCATGTGATCACACAGCTACAGGGACTAGAAGAAACACACCAAACATCTCCTCAAAATTACGAAAAAACTGCGAGAGATGATATCACTGCTGTATCCTTTTCTTAGTCCCTTTTGATACTTTATTCTCCTGTTAAAGCTTAATTCTTATCCACTGTTCCACCTTAAGCAGTGTTTCTTGATTAAAGTAGGTACTTCCAACAGGTCTTTTAGGGTATGTACAGCTCATAGTGTGTATTGTGAGAATACTACTCCATGCTTTCTAATTCTGAATGAACATTGTAGTACAGCCTC